GAAATTCTTTTAAATTTCATTGCATTCTTGCATATCACTTAGTCTATGGTAATTAAATTGATCAAAGGCATGAAAAAGCCATTTACTGATTTTTTTCAATGCGATTCAATAATTTCAGTTCACAAAATAAACCAATGAAAATTAAAATAAAAGTTAAAATGATTAGAAATGAAGGCAAAAATTGAAAATTAAATAAAATTAAAATGAAAATTGAAGTGCTTCAACTTTCAATTGAATAAATGCATTTTGATTTTAATGATTAGCTTAAAATTATTCAAAATCTTTTCAAATGATCATTTCTTCCTCATTACATTTTCAAAATGCTTAATCACTGATTACTGGAAGAATTAATTATGATCAAACAACTTCATATCATTTCCTATTAATTTTTATTATTACCATGGTAACAAAATTATAAATACTAGCACTATATTTCACAATTAATTTATGTAATTAAATATTTAATAATAGCCGAAGGCAAATTCAATTATTTGTTGATTTGCGAAACAAACAAATATTGTATGCGATTATTTTGTACTAACTTGTCAAATATTTGCATTTATTATAAATTGTTAAAATATGAAATTTTAAAATTTGCAACTTTCTACCTTTTCTATTTTTTTCCATTTGATTGATTCATTTATATGTGATTTAAATGGAATTATTCTACTATTCTGAAAATTTTCCCAATAAATTCTAATTTTCAATACTTTCATTTAATGGCACTTTTATTCGTTTTCAAAAAAAAAAAATTCTTATTACATTTAAAATTTTCGGTATTATTTCTTAAATTCTTTGAATTATTCACATTTATTATTATCGCTAAGCGGTATTAAAATTTGCTCCTCTGAGGTAGATGAAAATGAAAACGGAATTTTAAAAAAAAAATAAAATAAAAAAATTTCTGCAGATGTCAGATGCATGAAAATGTCATTCAGATTCACTGAACATGTCAGATTCACTGAAAATGTTAGATTCACTGAAGGCATCATATTGATTGAAGATGTGCAATTTGAAAGATCACTTCAAGTATAGTTGTTAAAAATTATTTAAATAATTGAAAAAAGTAGATATTGTATGTGCGAAAAAAAGGAGTAGAAATTCAGGATTTTTTTTCCAATTTCGACACATATTTTCAGAAATTTGACAACTTTGATTAAATTGATTGATAATTTTTTTTCAAACTTCATTAATGAAATAACGAATTGTTCCTTTCTTTTATGTTAATTTTAATAAAAAAGAGTGAAAAGTTTTTGTTTTTGCTTTCTTTTTGTTTTTTGTTTTTTTTGCCATTTGATCGATGATTTTTTACTTCATAAATAAAGTTATAATAAGATGATAGCATATGTAAAATTGTAATCAAATGATATATGTCCAGTATTTAAAAAACAAGAAATGAAAAGTATTAGGTTTAATATATGATAATCATCTTTTCGGAATTTCTTTTTTTTTAATAATCATAACAATATTCTCTTACTTCATTAATTACCAATCGAGAAATTGAAATCATTTACTTGTTTTTATTATTGTTAAAAACTCCAAATAATAAAACCAAAATTTCACATAAGTTATTAACTGTTTGGTAATATCTAAATTTAATTCTCAACACCAGCTGAAATTGGCAATAAATATTTTGGAAATTATTGTTAAAATAAATTATATGTACTTATAATTAATTAAATATATATGCATAGTTGCTACATTTTATCATAATTGCATATATTATTCGATATTTGATACATTATCAATATAGTATAAGAGCTTCATAGCTCTTCTCAAATATGCACATGCTTTTCATTAATTAGTTCTAGAAATTGATAAGAAATTATTTGATCCTTCCTCATCATCATAATATAATCTAATGCATTTTAGAATTTTATTTTATTCGCATTTTTTTTTCAAAAAAAAATTACCAGTCTTTGTCATATTTATTTATTCGGATTTAGCAATGTGTTATTATTTCAGTTTAATACTTTCATAATCATTTTGCAAACAGTAAATTAAGTTCCTTGATATGTCACTGCTAATTATCATTATTATCCCTACCAATGAATAATTTGTATTCACATTTCAACAGTTATTTCTGCATACCCTACTACGGCTCATATCCATAACTACGAATCAAATAATTAATGAAATAATTAATTAGGTATGTTCCCATTACATATGACTGTTATCTAATTTTTCCCCATTTATGATTAAATACATTACAATCTGTTGTGTCACAATTAAACTGATATAATTTGAATTATTTACTAGAATTTTGACCATTTTGATTTCATTCGTATTGACTATTTCATCAATATTTTCCATTACATTTAATTAATTCCATTGAATTTCGCAGCATTTTTAAATGACTGATAATCATGGATGATCTTATCTTAGTAATCAGATATCTCACTGCATGCATCAATTTATCAGTCAAAATTTACTTCAAATAATTTTCAAAAAATTTTTAATCAAATACTTGAATTTGGTAATTCTTTTTTCTTTATGCAATACACATTTATTAGTTTTATTTATAATTTATGACGGTTTTCTTTCTCTTTTTTTTTTGGTAAAAATAGCTCTTTGAGTTTGTATAATTCAGCAATTTCATATGATTTAATTAAAAAATTCACAATTAAATAGACATATAAGAAATTAACGTTTCAGCAGTATTTGCTTTTTACATAAAAATTAGATTTTAAAAGGAGCAAATTAGCAAAAAATAATGAAGCATATTCAAAATTATTACCTATTTATATTTAAATATCATTTCAGCATTCATTCAACAATATATACCAAAGAGTTAACTATAAATGAATTTTCAACATTTCCGCTTTCTTTTATTTTTCCGAAGTCTAATCGTTTGCATTCAATCATAAAACTTTTCATTTTCTTTCATTCCCTTTTGCATTTCCTTCTTATTTCATTAAATTAAAAAAAAATAATAAGAATGAAAATTGCCAATAAATTTTTTTTTTACTCACAAAAATTTTTCTCGAAGTCAATTATTTTATACAAATAATTGGGATTTTTTGTATTTAACATGAAAAATTTCATTTATCTGTCAAAACTGTCCTTTTTTTCCACTTTTTTTTTCTCATTTTCTTTCATTCAGTTTTTGTCTTTTTTTCAAAAAAAAAAAAAAAAAACAAAGCTCGATTTCAACGCTTCAGCTGTTTTCCTTTATTTTTAAACTCCGTAAGATGCAATTTACTTTTCATTAAAACATTTTATTGTTCGAATGATTGCCAATTGTTTTCTTTTTTTTTTGTTCTTTCGTTATTTATTTTTACCAGAAAATGCTCATTTCTTTGTTAGTTTGAAGCATAAAAAGGTCAAATTTTATAATTTATTTCATTTATTTGAATAAGATTTCAGATATTTCGATTTTTAAATTATTTTATTTTTTGTAATCAAATTTTTAGACCTTTCTCATTTTTATTCTTTATTCTTTTTTTTTCTGGTAAGCTTCGTGTTGGTAATTAATTTTCAGGTTCTTTTTCCTTTCTGCTAATCTATGATCCTCTTTATCCCATGTTTCATGTTGATAATTCATTTTATTTTCATTTTTCAACTAATCTATTGTCCCTTATCTTCCCTGTTCCAAATATCTTTTTAAAGTGTTACTTTATACTTTTCTGTTCATCATCATTGAATTCAAAAATTCAATTCATCCCAATTTTTCAAAATTTGAAAAATTCTTTGAAGTGTTAAATAGTGCATATCAAATGAAGTTAGTATTGACCTTACAGGTATCTTTTTTCTTGAATGTTTATTAAATTTTAATTTTTTGTTTCAAATATAAAAATTGTTTCAGTAGCTTCTTCTGTTTTTTCTTTTCTAATACATTGATTCCAATATGTTAATTTCTTTTTATTTCCAATACATTAATTCAACTATAATTTCCATTTTTTGATATTTCTTTTTTGAGTTGCAAAATTAATTTTATTCACATTGTGTTTTTTCATTTAGTTCGTAAATTAATTATCGCTAACTATTTCCAATATATTAAGTCATTTCCACTTTTTATTATTTTCCACCTGAATTTGTTACCCTTTTCTACAACTTAATTTTCACAAAAGTTTTTTTTGTTCAAAATTTCAATTGAAGTTTTTTTCATTGTAAAACATGAAATCAATGATATCATATTGTCTAAGTTATCTTTTCATATTACTAATAATTTCTTTATTTAGCTTTAAATTAATCATTCACCTCACCTTTTATAGCAATAAATTTTTTTTTTCACCTTCTACAGGATTCAACAAATAATATATATTTTCGAATGCTATCATATAAAAAATTGAATAAATTATGTTTAATATTTTACAAGCAAAAAATAAATAAATTGCAAAAATTCTTTTTATTGCATGTTTAAAACAAATTTATGATTTGTTTTCAGATCAATTTGTGAATTTTCGAAACATTCATAAACATGACAACTGCTTGAATTTGTCGTCCTAACTTGTCAATGCAATTTTCCAACGATTCATTTCTAACAGTGAATAAGTATGAAATTTGCTAATTATTTTTTTTTTCCTTTTTCTTCGGTCCATTGGTTTTCCAAATATTTTGAAATATAAAAGGATAAAAAAAAAAGTTTATCTTCATTCTCTTCCGCTGCTTCAATTTTTACTTAATCAACAATGCACAAAGTTTTTTTATCTATTATTATTAAATAATAATGATAACAGCAATAATAACGATGATAATAGCAATGATAATAACAATAATAATAACAATAATGATTGTGGTTAGCAGTAATAAATAATACCAATGACAGTAATAACTTTAGTAATTCAATTAGTAAAAAATCTAAAAATTTGATTTGAACTACATGTAATTTTGTTTAGAAAAGACAAAATCCTTGTAAATAACATTTAATCCATTTTATTTTGGTAATTTCAAATTTTAATTCAGTTCTTATAATTTAATTTATCAATTTTCTTTTCTTACTATTTATCATCTGTATATTTTTCTCAGAAATTATCATAAATTGTTCAATTCCTATTGATTCAGATATTTTTTAGGGCATCATCATTGTCATTATCATCATCATCATCATCATCATCGATTAATACATGGATGCCGCCAACACAAGGTGCGCATATTTTTGGTGCAATATTCATCGGATGTGGTGTAGCAGCAATTATTTTCAATGCTACTATCATGATAACACTTTGTCATCTAAGGCGGAATGTATTGTCACGTGTTTTCCACTTGCTTATCTTTAATTTTGCTATCATTGATCTTCTCAAAAGTATGCTACGATTGAAATTATTATATATTTTAATGAGATATATATTTATTTTTGTATATATTATTATTTTTATATATACATATATTTTAATCAATCAAAATAAAATAAGAATGAAAAATTTTCGTAATGATTTCACACATTTAAAAATTGAAATTTTTATACATATTTTAATAAGTAATAATCAAAAATTAAAATATAAAAATGATAAAAATTTTAGTATTTTTGAAAATTAATTACAAATTATATTTTGTAACAATTTTTAATAATTAATGTTCAATAAATCGAATTTTAATTAAATCGAAATCTAATCTAATGAGTATAGATCTAATGAAAAATTTTAAAC